CAGACAACCTCTCGTCAATATGCGTTTTTTGCATTGCATTGCTGCAAAAAACGCATAAAAAGGTGGCAACTGTTCAAAAAAAGACGAAGACTAAATGTCTTGACAAAAAGAGTGGGTATTTCATATTAGTAATGTGACTGCTATGCTTCTACATGCCGAGCGTAACTTAGCAGGTGTATACCTCCATTCAGTATTTAACCCTTATTAACTGTGTGCGGGCCTCTTCCTACCGAACATTCGTTTACATTCTTGCTTATTCGTAATGATATCCTGCACGCTGCTCATCTGACGGGGAGTCTGATTGTTTATTTGCTCACAAACGTCTCACAGAAGGAGCATAATAATGCAACCTCTTTGCCACTTAATTTACAAGTATTAAAGGGTTTTTTATAGTGAGCTTTATCTGCTTTCTCACTCACAATAAAAAAAAAAGTAAATTACCTGTAGCAAACAATCCGATTGGCACGTATATCAATCACAGTGCGCTGGAAATGCCTGAAAATTTCGAATTTTTATTCGAAAATTTTGAAGGAATAAAATTTTGTTTGTTGTTATGAAGAAGCCCCAGCTATATTTTTCAGTAATAATAAGCCCGAGCTGTACTTATTGTAGCAGTCAATTCGGAGCTACGATGCTAGCAATCCTACGTACCAAAGACAAATAAAAGCCCCATCCGTTCCCGCTCTTTGTGGAAAGCAAAGAATACTTGGAAATTGCCTGAGTGGTGGCACATGTCAAAAGTACTCGTTTGCAAGGCTATTAGCGGCCAACTTTTTCGAGCAATGCTTACAAGCAAGCTGATGGCAATTTTGTACACAAAGGAAATGCAAAAAAAAAGTAAACGCACCAAGTGCTAATCATTCGAAGTTGAAGCAAAAGAGCAGCAAAGGTTATTACATCGAAAATAAAACTGCTCGTATCCAATTCACCGTATGGTACTATAAAAGTGCACATTTTTTCTTAAACTTTAAAGAATTATAATACTCCAAGAAAATGGAACGCAAACACGGGGGCAAAAAAAGTAATTTTAAAAAAAATTTAGGCAAAATAAGGAAATTAAGAGTTGCCATGTTAATAATGGAAAGCAAACAAGCAACGAATATTGCGATTAACTTACTCGGATCTTCAGCAAAGGAGTTCGAAAAGTAGGAGAGTAGAACGCGGAGTGCCGTATAATCGACCGTTTTTCTTAACTTCCTTTGTGCCATAAAATGATCCAGCAATACTTCGCCTATCTAAAGCAGTTATGAATTTTCAGTTTGTTGTAAACTTATTCTGCACTACTTGAAGCACTTCATAGTCCACTACACCAAGTTTTTTCAGCTGCTTTCACCAGTGCTGCATGCTTGGTGATCAGCCTGCTAGCGATATTCAAGTTTGTTTTATCTCCTGAACGGATTCCGGCACAACTGTTCTTCAGGAAAAAAAAAAACACATGGCACCGTTTTCGTATGATATCTAAGCATTAGTTAGGGAACTCACGAACTGAAAATGAATATTTTCTGCATTTTAATTCCAGAGTAAATATATCACAAATTATCTAACAAACTGTTGGCAGTTTTAGTTAATTTAAGATATTTTTTTTACTGCAGACCAAGTCTGAAAGATGAAACGCAAACTAGACACATAAACCCACATTAGAGGAAATGAAACGAGCGTCAGGAACGCCAACAGGCTGACCACCAGGCAATGTAGCGCTCGTCAAAGCAAGTGGGACAGCTATCAGTTGCATAGAATCAGAATATGAATTACAGCTGTTCCAAGAATTTCAATTGTCCAGTGGAAATTAACAGCTTCGATACTGAATAGGGAGGCAGCAAAAAAAATTTCCAAGTTTTTTCCCTGGAACTCTCAGAAAACAGAAAGAAAGAAAAGAAACCAGGGCCATAATGCGTAGCAGGACAGCAGCAAGAAGATAAACAGTCATAAGTCGCCATTTGCGAATGAATATTTTGGGATGCACAAGGTAAAGATCGGCGCCACGCCAGAGATTGATAAAAGCGAGAATGATGAGTACTGTAGAGAGGAAAATCGATGATGAAAGACGAATTCCGTCTGATAAAACAAACAGCAGCACAAACCAATGATAGTATGAGAAGACGAATTGCTTTAGCACATCCAAAAATATCCTGAAATTTTAGGATAAGAAAAATTAAAACTTACAAAAATTCACTTGTTTGAAAAAGCAGAGTGCTATGCTACGAGTTCTTGTAGATGAAAGAAATGATGGAAACTATGTGGAAGTTTTTAAAAAAAAAAAAAAATGTTTTTTCAACCCAGACAACTCTGAGAAAGAATGGAAAAAAGTGTTTGTGAGGTTAGGAGGATTTTCGGCATCATTCCTTCAGAAACCAAAGAAATGATAACGATAAAGGCACAATAACTTTACTGCAAATGATCACTGGCGGGTCCGGGGGGAGAAGGGGCGAGGGGTTTTTCGTCCTCCCTCCTCCGCGGGGGCTCAGGTAGCGGCTGTTTCACTGTAGAGGACTCTGTTCAATGCTCCATGTCCGCTTCTCCCCCCTCCCCCCTCCCGCCCCCAGGGCTTTCTCGCCCCCCCCCCCTCCTGTCTCCCGCCCATTCTCGGTCTTCGCCGCAGTTTAGGGTCGACTGGCAAGGGTAGCGTCCACCATGGTGGCGGCCGATAGGTGTAGCGGGATGATCGAGGGAGGAGGGAGTAGCGGAGTGCTCGAGGGGAGAAAAAAGGTGGGCTTCCAGTATAGTGACGAACGAGGGGCGAGGGAAGAAAAATTGCCCCTTCCCTTCCCTTCCCTTCCCAAGAGACCGTCCTTGATCCGCTTATGCAAATGATAAACATTTTAAAAAGTTACTTCGTCCTCATAGAGAAGAAGTCGGGCACAGGATTTTGCTCCAGCGACTCATTTCGGTAAAGCGTCAAGAGAATGCCATCGTTTGAACCACCAGCTGTGCCATTGTTTTCTTCCTGTTTCTTAAATTCAGAAAATTTAACAGAAAAACTCTCTTACTAACCTTAAGTCTCTTTGTCGATAGGGTGCCTCCCTTAATAATTTGGGAGTAGCAACGCTCGGGAAGTGAGATGGACCAAAAACATCTCAAAAAGATGGACCAAAAACATCGCAAAAAGACTAAACCGTACCAAATGCTTTTGTCAAGAGAACCACTAAACAAGTAGTCCGATCAAGAGGCAATACGAATGTCATGGTCGCCAGCTTGCTGACTACCGGGCGTTGTAGCACTGATCAAAAAAAACGTGAAATAAAAAAACTCAGGCTGGAACGCACCAGGCGAGCCGGTGCGATCATGCGTTTTGGCACAAAACTTTAATTAGGTTAACTGCATGAACGGTTGTTTCTTCACACCTACCTTGTGTGCTTAATGTCGAAAATCATCGAAAATTTTGCATTAAAAAAAAATAAACTATTTCTGTTTAACTAATTCCGTTTTTTGAAAATAACCCAACTGTTCAATGAGTAATTTTCTCCCCAGAAATTTAATTGCCCGTACACGAGAATCGCGCGTAAATGAAGACTGAATTTGAAGATTTAAGT